TTGGCGCCCGAGCCGCCCTCAGCCAGCGGGCGGGAACCGGTCTGTTTGTGGGATCCGAACCCTCGGCGGGAGTGCCACCACGCTCCCAAGCGGCGCACTGTAGCAGTGCGCCACCGGGCCGGCCACACTTCTGGGCTTCTAACACTTGCTCCTCATTCCTCTCTGGCCCAGGCGGCAGTGTGGCCAGGAGGTAGCCCAGAGGGGAGGGGGCAAGGGATCTGTGCTGAGCTCCCAGCACTGCCCCCAGGGCCATCTGGTGCCCTGGTCCTTGCTGGAAAGAAGTGGGATGCAGGCAGGAGAGGGAGAGGCTCAGAGCCACTAGGTTGTCTCCCTCCCTTCTCCACACCATCCACCCCGGGTAACTGCTTGGGCTCAAGGCTTGCCACTGGGGTAGGGGTAGGGGGTGCAGTGGGTTAAACATCCTTGGCTTGGTATCAGCAAAGCCCAGACCTTGGAACAGGCAAGTGAAGACCATGCTCACTTTTCTCTAGTTTTCTTAGAGGGACTCATCAGTGATTCTGATAGAACAAGGAAGGTGGGGGGCATATGGGGTAGTATCCCTGCTGCTCCCCACTGGGGCAGAGGGGGGCCTCCTGGGTGCAGGTTGCAGCCTTGCTTTAGGTGGTGCTCTGGGAGGATCCAGCTGATCTGATGGAAGCAGGGGAGTGCAGTCAGCCCTGCCTCTGCACAGTACTAGCTTCTGTGATGCTGTTCCAAGGCGAGGACAGACTCGCATCTGGAGGAGTTCCGGGCCAGGACATGCTGCTGGGGCTGCTCTGAGTGGGGCAGAGAGGCCTCTGAGAGCCTGGCAGAAGTGGGCCATGCCTGCCCCAGGGCACTGCTCATATTATCCAGCAGCATACTCCCATCCCCACTGTCCACCCCAACTCATCTTTCCATCCTCGACCCAGTGGGCTCATACCCACACCTGGTCTCTGGCCCCTAGCTATCAGAATAGAGCCTGACAGGGGCAACAAAGGCTTCTCTCCTGGTGGAGAAAGGAGTGGCAGGCCTGAAGTAAGTTGTTGAACATAGGAGAGGTGAACTAACAGGCCTGAGCAGGTATGGAGCATCAGCCAAGCCACTGAGGCCCATCCTTAGGAGAAATCTGATATTCGGGAAGTTTATGGTACTTGTCCTACATCTAGGGAGAGAAGAGGGGGACCATTTTCCTGCCTTCTCCCCATCACTGGGCACTAGAAGCTAACACCTCTGGCCTCCCAGTGTCGGTGCATTGTCAGAGGGAGGGTCACTTGTGGGTGGTGTGAAAAATGTTCAGACCCCAAAAGGAAACACCCAGTCTTTTGTTGTTGTTTCAAACAGGTTAAATTACTCACCTTTCCTGAGCTACTGGGACTGGAGAAATCCAGGAAGAAATGGCCTCTGCTAACTAGAGTGGGTAGGACAGCCCTGTTTGTTCTCAACCAGCCTCAACCTGAGCAAAAATGGACTATGGATGGGGCAAATGGGGCTGGGAGTCCCTGGGGGAAAACTGGAGACCTAGGACCTAGCCACTGGTTCTGGATCCCTAACTGTTTTGCTCCAGAATAACCCAGAATAAGCCAAGATTTCCTAAGACTCAGTTTCTTAGTCTGCAAACAGGGAGTGTGTTCTGAGCTTCTCCCCCAATTTCCATGTAGTCTCAATGTGTTCCAGGCAGTCAGAAACCCAGGGGGTATGTGGGCAGACCTCCTCCTGTCTACATAGCCTCGAGTTGGCCAACCTGGGCATTGGCAGAACAGTGAGCACCATGTCTGTGTGAGTATAGTAGCCATCCAGCAGCCCCAGGGCTGACAGGAGATGCTTGGGTCTACCAGCCAGAAAGACAGTGATTACAGATTTCAGATTCTGCTTCTGGCCAAGTGGGGCTGACTGTTCTACCTGTGTGTGATTCTCATCTCCAGACCTGGCCCGCTGTTCCTACAACACCCAGCTAAAGGAATAAGACCATGATAGATGCCATGAGATGTAAAAACAAAAATACTGAGATTTGGTGACTACTGCCCAGTCGTGCCAAGTTCTTTCCCTCCTTTCTGCTCATTTGTCCTCCTACAGCCATTCAGCACAATAGTTCTACCACACTCCTAATCTGCGTAGCAACTTCAGTTACAAACCAGCCAGTGAGTCTCTACTCATGATATGCATGAAAAAAATTCCATTTTCCATGGTCACATTTCTAAAGATCCAAGAGCAGCTTTATTAGCAATCTCAGAGAGGCCCTGAAACCCTCCATGTCACTTGTGTGGCCCTGTCCCTCTCTGGGACTGCTACAGCCCTCCCTCTGTCTAGTAGAAAGCTGAGGAGTGATGTTAACTGCCAACATGCCCAGGACACAGGGCCCAGGCTGCCAGTGCTCTCAGCCACTGCTCAGTATCTTCATACTGGTGGGTCCAGGGACACCCCACCCCAGGCAGAGTCCCAATTATGCTCCGCGGTGGCCAGTGTCTACAGTGCATCTGTGCTGGGACTAGCAGTACCCCTAACCTTTTCTACTCTACTAGATCGCTCCTGGGAAATGAGAAACTGAAAAAGGAAGTGAGTGCTGTAGCTGAATTTCCTAGAAAAGATCACTCTTTCTGATCCTTGCCACCCAGACACATCTGAATTCAGAATTAGCCCCTTGCACATACCCAGAACCTCTAGGAGCTCAGCCCAGAGACACCAGGGCAGTCCTAGAAATAGCCTTCTTGGACAACATAATGTCAGGTTAGAGGTGGCCAGAACAGATGTAGTCTGACCAGGACAGATCTAACAGTAGGTGTGTGAGCAAAACCTGCAGACTTGTTTTCTCATCACATGGAAGCATGACCAGGGAGGTGAATCTGGTCTTAGCAAAGTGACAAAGGGCAACTGCACTGGTTTGAGAATTATGCTTTGCCATCCCTCAGGAAAATGTGCCAAGGGTTATTTTTTCTTGACAGGAACACCACTGAAAGCATCTCTGGAGAGGCAAAGATTCTGTCTGGAGACCCCAGCAGAAAAGAGCATTTACCAGGTATGAAGCTGGAGAACAGACCAGGTCAGCATTTCCCAAACTGGTTGCTACAAGACAGCAGTACCTAGCATATTCTGTGAAGGCAAGTCTAGGAAAAGCTGCCAACTACAGCTTGTCTTGGAGCTCCGTGTTGCCCCTCAGGACACCGAAAGCCCTGAGAAATCTCACAGCAAAGAACCATTTCATTTGTGCCCAGCATTTGCTTGAAATACTTGGCTGAGAGGTCTGCTCTTCACCAAACACTGTGAATCTGCACTAAGTTTGAGGTCCCCTTTTTTCTTGGCCCTGAGCCTCAGTTTTGTCCCAGCACAATGAGGCAGATGGACTGAATGTCTCCACAGTCTTCCTACTTTGTTGTTTCTCCAGGCTCAGCCAGAGGTTGGCTTCCTTCCCACCTCACCAAATGTCCTGGGCTTGGGGGAGCCGGGAGGCAAAGGCTGTGGTATGGTGAGGGCTGGGATGCCCACCAGGAGGCTAATGCCACTACGTGTGGCTTTCCCCTGATCCCCACCCACCCCATCTGAAGTTGTCCAGGTGCTACAGCTTGAGTGAATATCTCAGGGGACTGAAACCCAGAGGGGTGAGGCCAGCACAAGGAGGGAATGCCCCACAGTGGCACAGGCCACCTGCCAAGCCTCCCTGCTCCTGTGAGACCAGGTGCTTCTGGCTTCTTCCTGTCAGAAACATACAGGTAAGCTTCCCTGGCCTTAAATGCACTGTTCTAAATACTGAACAGCAAACACTTACCTAACTTACCAGTGCAGGGATGGTCCTGTTTCTAATCTCAGATGCAATAATCACGAATGTGCACGCCTCCTCAGGAAGCCCCCACACTCCCGGAGCAACTCCAAATGCACTGAGTCATCTCCCCGCACCAACAGCTCCTTCCTCAGAATCTCACACTTACCTCTCACAAACCACACATCCCACACCCACAGCACCTCATGGCATATATAGACCCTGACCTGTGAAGAATTATTCTCGCTCATCCTGCCTCCCACATGGTCCAAACATCTCCAGCTGCTGATAATCTCAAAGATGGCCATGCCTATGCCTGTAGTCAGCCACTCCCCATCCTGTCCAAGGGCAAAGCCTTGAGGGGAGAAGCAGAGACTCATATGGGTTACCCCAGAGAAGTGGGAGGAAGCCAGCAAACCTACTCAGTTCATTTCAAAGGGATGGCCCCAGCTCAGCCAATACATTGCAGCACCCAGCCTCCAGGTCACCAAATAGAGCTGCCAAGAGCTTAGCTAGGCATCCCAAAGCAACTCAAAGCATCCTGAACAAGGCAGGATGGGGCTAAGGCAAAAAGGAGGCCAAACTCATGGAAATAGTCCTACAGTGGCCTCTTGGTGAGTGTAGGACACTGTCACCCTTTGCGAATGCTTGGCCCCAGCTTGGGTCTCTACTTTACACCAAGGCTGTTTCTCTGGAGATGGATAGCTGCTCTGCCACCTCAGACCCCCAGCTAACTGAAACTGAAGACCAGAGCAGAAGCTTCCTAAATCCCAGCTGGAAGGCAGTTTTCTGCCTCCCCTAAAACTTTGCTCCCTTCACCAGCATCTCCCTCAAGGTCCCGTTGTCAAGGAGAGAAGCAGGCCTTGGGCCATGGAAATCTGCCATCTTCTGGACCCTCCAGCTGCTCATGACCCTCTCCAAATGAGCATCCACTGGGAAAAGTTGTCTATAAGATTGTCTTTGGCTCTCTCCAAGGCCATTTTTCCAGGCCAAACTTGGACCAGGTAAGGGAGCATCTTCTACTCTGGGACCCTGCCCAAGCTTCCAGGGGATCCAGGAATCCCTCAGGAAATCTGGGGGCAGGTCTTGTTCTTTGCTGCCACAACTTGGAGCCAGGACACACTCCCACTCCTCCAGAAGGACAGAGATGCTGGTGGCCAATGGAAATGACCAGGAAAAGAGAGTTGGTGAAAGAGGTGAAAGGAACCGTGGGAGGCATGGTAATGAGATGGCAGGTAGGTGGGGAGCCGGCGCAGAGGGTGGTTACCTGGGTGAGATGAGGATTGGGGTTGAACCCACACTGGTTGCAGACCTTGTTGTGACACTGGGTACAGGTGTTGAAGTTTGGCTGGCTGGGGGTCGACGTGAGGTCCGAGGTCTTGCATATGGGACACAGGGTGCTGCTGGGAAGAGGGGCAATCTGGGGGACGGAGTAGGGTGATGTGGGGGTACTGCCTCTGTCCGGTGACACCGAGGGGGACCGCCCTGATCTCTGTGTCCTGCTGTCCACCTGCAGCGTCCTGCGGGGACCATCAGCTTCCCGGCCTGCTGGGCCCTGTGCCTTTGTCTCCCGGGGGCTCTCATTGCTGGAAACAGTAGCAGAAGCCTGCTTTGGAGTTGGGGAAGCTGCTCTCTGGCTACCCAGGGACTCCTTGGGGTCCAGTCTCCGAGAAACACTGAAATGACATTGAAAATGACTGTGTTAGAGACACATCTTAGAGAAGCAGCCTACAGAGGTCTCTACCAAGCTGGGTGACCCCACCAAGCCCTGTCACCACCCTCCTTCTCCTGCCCAGGATCAGCATCCCAGCCACCATTTACTGTGCCCTGTGCTGAGCCCTGACAAGGATTTCCCACTTGAACCCTTGGCACCAGGCCATGTAGTGGGATTATAAGTGTCCCCTTTTACATCCTGATAAAGTGTAGATTCTGATCAAGTAGGTCTGGGTGGGGTGTGAATTTTTAGGAAACTCCAAGGTGATGCCAATTTTGGTGATGCAAATTCTGCAGACCACCTTTTGAGTACCAATGCTCTAAACCTACACATTAGAAACACCTAGGGTGATTTTCAAAATTATGACTCCCGGACTGCACGCCAGATAAATTTCATCAGGATCTGTGGGGAAAGAACTCTGGCATTAGTATTTTTTCCTCCCTAGGTGATTCCAACACACAGCCCAAGCTCAGAGCTACTGCCCTGGCAGGTCTGTTACCCACTGACTTGTCCCCTTCAAAGGCTGATTCAGACAGTTGGGGACAGGGGGCACCTCAGTGCTTACTTAATGCCATTTCCAGTAGGGGCCTGCCTGTACACAAAGGTACCTTCCTTCTGATGGCCCACCAGCAAGCCTGATGCCAGACTAAGTCTACCAAGATGGAATGAAGTGTTATTTTTATGCTAGTGCAAGGCTGGGTGGGGTTGGAGTTCTGGGTACCAGCTCTTGAGAAACCACTGTGGAAGGTCTGATGTGTCTGACCTCCACCTCCATCCCTGGCCTGGTTGCAAAGTTGCCAGCCATGTTGGGTAGTTCGATAGGTGAAGATAAACTATCAGGCTAAAATCCAACCCCTTTATATTCCTTCACCTTTGACCCAACTTAAGTTCATTTCTGCCAATTTTCCTCTTTTCCAATTTGAAAGAGGCTGAGCACAAAAAGCCAAAGGCAATGCTTTATGTTGCTTCCTTGAGATTCTATACTTGCTTTGGTCTGTATTCACTTGGGTGGATGCTGGGACCCAGGAGGCAGAATCGCTGAGAGCCACTGCAGAGGCCCGAATGCAGTGCCTGTGGACGAGCCTGCCCTGGCCTCTTCTGCCCCAATGATCCCAGTCCTTGTAGAGTCTGACTGACAGGGGAGGATTCTAAGTTTGCTGCCCCCATCTGAAGGCCATCTCAGAGGCCCGAATGCAGTGCCTGTGGACGAGCCTGCCCTGGCCTCTTCTGCCCCAATGATCCAAGTCCTTGTAGGGTCTGACTGACAGGGGAGGATTCTAAGTTTGCTGCCCCCATCTGAAGGCCATCTGGCTTGGCAAAAAGATTCAGGAGCCAACTGGTAGGGCATCTTAGGATGGGCCAATTCAGAGGGGAGATGAGGAGCCCACCTATAGTCCTTCCTCCCTTCTGAGGAACACATCCTCAGTCTAATAAAAACTCTTTTAGAATAAAGAAACACTATGAAATATCCATCAAACATTCCTTTCATTGACTACCAACAGAATACACCTAACCATCGAGTCACAGACCTGCCACTTCCTTCTTCAGTAAGACAACCGGAGTTTGAGTCTAACCCCTCTAGGCCATCTTTGCCACCAGCTGTGAGGCCCAGTATGGTGGTGGCCACAGCAGCTCTGGCCAACACTTGGAACCTGGTCTCTTCTAGGGTCTTTCAGCAGACCAAGTTCTAGGTATCCTAAAGAAATATTTCTCACTTGGTTAAATTAATAGTTTCATTTTTTACTCAAATAATTTATGGCTGGAGTTTAAAAGCAGCCCTTGAAAACTAATCAGAAGCTAGTGAAAGCCCTTTATAAGATGTGAATGGGCTGCAGCCCCTCCCCAGGATGTGCAAGGCCTTCTGAGAAATTTAGCAATTTCTACTGTACTTGTATTGCCTGATAAGTGACAGGCAATCTTCTGTATAGACAGTGACTTTAATTCAATATTGTATGACAATGTAGTCTTTCTGGAGACATTTTCTGTGGTGATTAGGGATCTAAATTTCAAGTTAACTTTCAACTCAGCTGTGGTAACAGTGAATAAACAAACAAAGCCTCTCGCACCCAGCCAAGTCTGTACTGCAAGGCAATGTGCCCTGCACACAGGCCTGATATGTGTCCACATACCACATAGTGGCTGTCATGATACCTAGTGATGGCAGTACATGTCATGGTCTCTGTACTCTCCTGTCCTCCTGTGATTCAAGCCTCCAACACCTCCCTCTGTCTCTTCATGATGATCTTCATGTCACTGATGAGCTGCTGGCCATCTCACTGAAAAAGCGGGACCCACTGATGGGGAACCTGCACATCCACGGCCTCACAACTTCTGACCCCAAGGTTTGCATGCCTCCTGCTCCCAAGGCCCACTTCTCACCTTCACAATATCTCCCCTCTTCTTCAAATCCGTTTCCCCCTCTCTAATTTGACACTGTAGGGTAATTGAAATTGGGTCATTTCAATTACCCTACAAATATGCTTCTCCCATCCTCAAAAACAAAAGAACTTGGACCCACTATCCCCTTCAGCAGCTGCCCCGTTTCTTCTTTCCTCTTTACCGCAAAACTCCTTGAAAGAATTGTCACCGCTCACTGCCTCTCCTCCCTCCCTCTCAACCCACTCCAATCTGGCTGTTGCCTATCTTTCCACAGAAACTGCTCAGGTCACAGTCACTAGGGGCCTCCACACTGTCAAATCCAACAGTCAGTCTCAATTCCTCATCTCACTTGACCATCAGCAGCACTTGATACCAGGTGAGTACTTCCTCCCTGAAATAAGTTCTCCACTGCCTTAGGGAACACCACCTTCTCCTGGGCTTGCTCCTCCCTCCTGGCTACACCTACAGCTACACTTTTGCAGGTTCTTCCTCATCTCCCAACAGCAAAGCCCCACTTCTTACATTGGAGGGCCTCAGGGCTCAGTCTTTACATAAATTAGCTTCTTTGAGCACTCACTTTCCTGAATCTCAAGACTCACCCAGTTTCAAGGCTTTAAATCCCATTTCCCACTGACAACAACCAAGTGTCTATCTCTGGCCCAGACCTCTGCCTTGAAGTCTTTACTTTTCTAACTGCCAACTCCACATTTTCACTGAGATGTCTTGTAGGCATCTCAAACTGGACATGTCCAAACCAAGCCCCTGATCTCCCCCCAAAATGTACTCCTAGTCTTTCCCTTGTCATCATCTCTGACTCCCTTCTTTTCTCATCCCATGTCATTCCATCAGTAAATCTTGTTGGCTTCAGAGTCTGGCCACTCCCACTGCCGCCTCACTCCACTGGTCCAAGCCACTGTCACCTCTTGTTTCAGTACTGCAGGGGCCTTGCTCCTTCTACTTGCCCCTCTAAGGTCTTCTCTCAATGCAGCCAGGATAATCCTTTAAATGCACAAGTCAGACCATTTCCCTCTGCTTAAACCCTCCAACAGCTTCCTTTCCCTCCTAAAGGAAAAGTCAAAGGCCTTACAATGGCCCAGGAAACCCCACGCTTTCCCTCTGGCCCCATTTCCTGCTACTCTCTCTCTCTCTCACTCTTCTTCTCTTATAGCAGGTGCACTCCTGCCTCTGGCCATTTGCATTTGCTGTTCCTTCTGCTGGCACTTGCTCCCTCTCAAGTCTTTGCTCTGGTGGCATCCTTTCAGGGACACTTATCCTGACTATTCTATTAAAAATTGCAGCTTCTATCCTTCCTCCCTCTTTATTTTCCATGGCACTAGGCATCTTCTGACCCAGTGTATAGCATATTTATTGCTTTCGTGTATGTTAGATTCAGCCATGAGTCCCATCATGTATCTTTCGTGTATCTTCTGGGATCCCTGCATTAAACTGGCACCTCTGTGTGGGCAGGGCCTCTGAGTGCTTTCCTCATAGCTGTGTCCCAGTGACTAGCACAGTGCCTGGCATAAACAGGATGCTCAATATGTATTTCCTGAATGGAAGGACTGCACGCATGTCATGACTCAGAACAGTAAAATGTGGCCCAACAGTGTTTTATTTTTTAAATTAATTAATTAATTAATTTTTATTTTTTTGTCCTTTTTGAGACCGGCCGCACCGCGCTCAGCCAGTGAGCACTGTGAGCACACCGGTCATCCCTATATAGGATCCGAACCCGCGGCGGGAGCGCTGCTGCGCTCCCAGCGCCGCACTCTCCCGAGTGCGCCATGGGCTCGGCCCCCAACAGTGTTTTAGAGCTGAAGAAACATGGCAAGTGTGGCGGGAGCACTGCTGCGCTCCCAGCGCCGCACTCTCCCGAGTGCGCCATGGGCTCGGCCCCCAACAGTGTTTTAGAGCTGAAGAAACATGGCAAGTGCCTGGCATGGCACTCAGCCCTTCTCTGGATCTGACTTCATGCAGGAAAGAAACACAGGAAAAATACCTGGAGTCCTCCCTGGCGGCTAGCCACACCCCCAGCCACATCACATAGAAGCTCTGCTAATAATATGGTGATAATGTCAACTGAGCCCTCACCACAAGCCACCTGTCACATATTAACTCCTTTAAGCCTCACAGCAAATTCATGGGGTAGGATCCATTTTGCCTATTTTACAGACAAGAAATCTGCCACACATAAAAGTTAAGTAACTTGCAAAGCCATCATGATTTGCAAGTGGTGGAGCTGGGATTTCAATATCCAGACCACAATTCCATGTCCTTAACCACTGTCCCACACTGCCTTTCTAGGGGAGCACAATATAGTTGTAGAGGGACGGGAAGCACCACAATGTAGGTTTATTGTATTCTTTTTTCAGAAGAGCTGTTTAAGTGGAAGCTTCCTAGGAAGAGATCTCTGACGTTTTGTTCCCCACCGTATCCCCAGGACCCAGCACAATGCTTGGCATTGAGTGGATACTCAATAAGCATATGCCAAGTGAACAGAAAGATGTGTGAACAGTATATTGAGCTCTCAAAGTAGGGCTAAGTTAGGGCAGTGACATCATTCAGTTCTGACCACTTCACCTG